AAGAGTTAATCCTTGAAGATGAAGGGTAGATGACTCATTAAGTACATTACCGTTCATTAACATAGGAAGGTCTAAATTATTGCGATGAAGATTGGCTGAAAAAAATTGAGTTTTATCTGAATTAAAGTTTACTAGCCACTGTAAGCCCCATACTGTAGCAGAAGTGAGATCCTTTTTAAGCTCAAATGCCCCCTCCAAGCAATCAGAGAGTGTTGGCTTCTTGTCATGAATACATGGTAAATTTAAAATTGTTTTTTTTGATAATTATGAGCAAATTTATAAAACTATTACTTTTAAAAAAAAACACAAGAATAAATGGTAGTGTCTTAGATGTGAGAATATCTGAAAGATCATTAATGTAAATTAAAAAGAGAATAAGGCCGCGGATTGAACCTTGAGGAACCCCTAAAGTTACAGAATAAGAAGAAGAGTGCTGTCCATCAAGGACAACTTTTATACTACGATTGGAAAGGAAGGACTCAATAATCTTAAAGATGTTACCAGATACACTGTAAGAAGAAAATTTATGGAGAAGACCAGCATGCAAAACTTTATCAAAAGCTTTAGAAATGTCAAGAGAGATAGCTTTAACCTCTCAACCTCTACTTAATGCACAATAAATCCTTTCGGTTATTACTGTTAGTTGTAGAGAAGATCAAAATCCATACTGACGATCAGAAAGTAAATTATTAGAATAGTATAGATGACACAGGGTTCCCACTATGAAAACTAAGACTAAAATTAAGGATTTTAAGGAGATTGAAGGAGATATTTCCCTAATATTTAAGGAGATTTAGTCGCGAACGACATTTTTTTGAAAGAAAAAGTAAGGATAATTGAGGAGAAAACGATTACATTAAAAACATTATCTTATTTTTTTCAATAAATTTTATATATAAACAGAAAAATTATTATTACTTTATATATATATATAAATATTAATATAATTATAATAACAAAAATAGGTTTGAAAACTATCAAAAATCTATATATTATCTTCTTTATTAACAAGTATAATCCATTCACTTTAAAAATTTTTTCTAGATAAACAAAAAAAAAAAAAAAAAAGAAGAAATTAAGGAGAGCAGTCAAATTTTAAGTTTTTTTAAGGTTATTTAAGGACATTTAAGGAGGTTTTTATTTTTTAAGGATATTTAAGGTTTTTAAGGAGGTGTGGGAACCCTGTGACAGCTCTGGAGAACACTTCTGAAAGACTACAACAGGTATGTTGTCTGGACCACAAGCTGTAGAAGAGTCTAAGCAGAAAATCACTTTTGATACAGAAGCTGTAGTAATATATATATATATATATATATATATATATATATATATATATATATATATATATATATATATATATATATATATATATATATATATATATATATATATATATATTTGTACTTTACCTCCTCCCCAAGTCAAGAAAGGCCACTACAGATGAGGAGGCTACTTGTGGTTTTAACCCTCTCCCAACTCTATAACTCCAAAACATGAACCTTGACAAAAAAGGCCGCTGCGCGGAGAAACAAGTTGAGCGCGGTACTACCAGGGACGTGTGCGGGGATCGAACTTAGAACCTCTTGCTTACGAAACAAGCGCTCTACCACTACACTACTACTGCATGAATGATATAAATGTCAAGCAATGGAACAACCTGTTTGATGGCTATATCAGGTAGAACACAACTAGTGGAATCAAGAGATGATATTGATGAAAAGTACTTAGCAAACAATTTAGCTTTGTCATACAAGAGAAGTGGAATAACAGATTTATCCTTCTTATTGACTAATATACTGTTAAAGATTCTCTTGAAATCAGGAGAGCCTAATTTTTGTGATGAAATATATAGATATGGTAGTAACAGTTTCAATTGGATATTGCAGCAGCACAATCCGAGGAAAACCATGTGAGGCTTGACCTTGAATCATTGAGAGTGAATAAAAGATTCCTTGCCAGCCTGAATGTTAGCAGGAAGACGAAAGGTTTCTACCCAAGGGCCATCATGAAGAAAATCAGGGAAAGAGTCCCAGTCAGCTTTAAGGTACTTCTAAATGGTATGATGATAGGGGATTCTGATGATAAAGAAGAATGAGATAATAATTTGAGAGAGATCAAAATGTGATCAGAAGCACCTAAGGGTGAATGTGGAGAATCTGAGCACTGACTAGGATCAGAAACAAGACATAGGTCGAGTAGAGAAGGTAAATGATTCAAGTTGTCTGGAAAGTAAGTTGGAAAGTTGACTATTTGAGTTAGGGATTGAGAAAGGCAAAAGTTGTTGGCTTTAATGCCTGCAAAGTCACTGACACTAGAGCCAAGCCATTCAGTGTGATGAACATTAAAGTCACCAACAATAATATTTGCTGATGGATAAAGAGAGAGGGCTTGATCAATATGATCAGAAATAACATCAAGAAAGGTGCAGTTTGAGATGAAGGAGAGCAATATAGAACAAAAAGAAAGGCGATAGAGTGAAATGGTGCTAAACGAAAGCTCATAAAAGAGTAGTCTGTGGATTCAGACCTAGTTTCCCGACAAATGGGTGAATTCTTACAAATTTAATTGCTAGGCTAAGTATGTGACTGTTGGAGTCTTTACAAATTAAAGGAAGATAACCATCAACACTAAGATCACAAGATGAGACAGCTGAACTCAAATTAGTCTGGTGAACTTTGCAAGAAGTTTTACAGTTCACCAGACTAATTTGGCGAGGACAATAGTTTTTTGAGTTTTATAGTTTTTGGTACTTTAATTATTTTTAAATTTGTTAAAAAACTTGACTTAAACAAACAAAAAGAACAAGATATTTATTTTCCTTAAATTTTATAATCATATAACTACAATAAATAATAATAATAATAACAATAAAAAAAAATAACAATAATATCTATGATATTATAAATAATAAAATCATAATATTATTCCTTACAAAAAACCATAAAAACCCTTAAAAAAAGCCCCACCAGATCATGGCTGTTATTGTTAATATTTTTCAGATGTCATCTAGGTAATAAAGCAAAAATGGAAGGCAAATGAACATACTCTGGTAATCTTATCTTCCCTACTTTAAATATTGCTTCTTCACCCTTAGCAGGGAGAATAAAAATGCAATTTATGCAGTTTAAAAAAGATGCACTAAATGGTTAACATACTCTGGTAATCTTATCTCCCCTAAAAACCATTTTATTCACTTTAGGTGAATTTGGTGTTTTCTGTTATGTTATTTTTAATTGTTATGAGACTTATTATGTATTTTTAATATTTTAATTTCTACAAATTGATTAAATTACTGTCTTACAAGTATTAATTTTAGTAATACTTGTAAGACAATATTATAATTAGTTATACTTGTCTTTTTGCAAGTATTAATTTTAGTAATACTTGTAAGACAATATTATAATTAGTTATACTTGTCTTTAACCATTTAGTCCATCTTTTTTAACTTGCATAAACTGCATTTTTATTCTCCCTGCTAAGGGTGAAAAAGTAATATTCAAAGTTTTTTTTTTTTTTTTTTTTTATTTTAATTCACCTTCTCAAGGCCAAGAAAGCCACTACAGACGAGGAGGCTAATTATTTGTGGCTATAACCCTCTCTCAACTCTATAACTCCGAAACACGAACCTTGATGAACAAGGCCGCTGCGCGGAGAAACGAGTTGAGCGCGGTACTACCAGGGACTTGGTGAGGATTGTAGAAGTAGGCCAGATGTTGCGTTTGGTGAAAATCTGGCCATTGTTGTCTAAAATGTTGATTGCATTAAACATTGGTGTTTAATGCAATCAACATTTAAGACAACAATGTGAAGGAACTTCATATAAGCATTTATGCTCCACAGCAGTTATATCCATTATCAATTTCTATACTTGCTAAGAGCACAGGATTTGACTATGCCACTAATATAGTCAGAGTATTAGAAAAACTATATTTAAGAAATTACAAATAAATTTTTAGATTTCAAAAAAATGACAGCAAATGAGGTATTGAGCATATTAACTCAGAAAATTAAAAGCTGTCTGTCTGACAGAGCACCTGCTAAAAGTAGTATCAGAGACATACTTCAGGAGGAGATTAGTATTTAATTAATTGCAATGTTATCAATTGTTTGATAATATTATTTCGGAGGAATAGTTAGCTCTTAGAACAATAGAACAATAGATATAAAAGTAAAACCAGACAAAGGAACTGATGGAGTTGCAGTGATAATCCTCAAAAAAATTCCTAAAGTAATTAATATCTTGTATATATAATATTTTCTTATTATTCATTATTACAAACTTTTTTTATTATTTTTGTTTTGTTAACAGTTGTTTCTTAATTGTTTTACATGTACAAATTTGACAGCTTATTTGTAATTATTTATATATGCACCTTTTTATAAAATTTATGAACTGTTGAGTATCTATTAAGTCAATTTCAATTCTAAACAGTTTTTATCTTTTCACATTTTTTAAAATTAATATAAAGTTATTACAAGAACCTTTTTTTATTATATAAGTGAAACTATATCTTGTATATTTTATACGCTATTATGTAAAGTCCTATTTTTGAAACCAATACCTTCTGTATCTTTTTTAAGATGTCAAATGTATTTTCCTTACCTTAAGAATTGTATATATCTACACTTTTAGTTGACCTAGGATTATAAATTTAGTATTAAAATGAATCATTTAATAATACATATATATAATGGAATTGGTTTAGTGTTTTTTAAAAAATATTTAATTTTTTATGAGGGTACATACTTAAAGTTTGTGAGTAAGTTTTTAAGAAAATCACAAGTAAGAATTTTTATTAAAAGCTTTTCCAGAATTTTCCAGAAAAACTGAAAAAAAAATCTAGGACTGGTGGGAACCTTGTATTTTATTGTTTTTAGCATATTTTAAAATATCAGGATAAGAAAATTATAAGTTTATAATAACATAAATTATAAAGTTAGCATCATAAAATTTTTGATTGAAATTAAAATTAAAAAAATAATAATAAAGTTTAACTTACGCTTTATACTCTCGATTAAGGCTTCCCTGGTGCATTTTCATAATATTTATTCGAAGTATACTTTTGAACTTTTTAAACACTTATATATAGAGAGCTTATTCTTCCTATCTTTAGATTTTATCAATCAAAAATAGTTCAAAAACCAATCAATTAAGAAATACAACAAATTATATATGAGAGAGTCATGTAAATAAAATAAGCATGAGAATAAAACTTAGTTTAACTAACGCACGCGCATTAGGTCAACAACTAAATAGTTGCCGTTAACTTTGACAACTCATCCCTTATTGCCAAAAAAAATTCTGCTATTTAAATAAGGGGTCGTCCTTAAAGAACGCTTTCGAAAAAAAGTGCCTCAAATATACAATTTTCACGATATGAACTAGCATTATCAAACTTTGTGAAAATCTTTGTTATTAAGTTTTCGCTCAGGTATTTCTTTGTATCTTCGCCAAGCATACCTACTGGTGTTTTTTATTTATTTGAATATGTACTGGGCTTACATCCATATATTGAGTTACCATGACATTTAATTCACTACTTGAGTTTAAAACAATCTTAAGAGCAACGATCTTTTCTTGTATGTTGTTCTGATTAAAATCATCAAAATCTTGGTTTTGTTCTGGTAGATTAGGGATGCATTTATTTTACTTTTGTTTAAATGGTTATGACACATAACAGTGTCAATGGAAAGATTTATTTTTTTGCGGTAAATATCAACGTTTTAATATTGTTAATGGGAACTGATTGTTTATTTAGTACTCTTACTTTTTTTAATTGATTAGGATTAGGATAGAAAACCTTTTAAAAGCTTTCCATTTAATACAATTGGTGAACCTGTGATATGCACATAATTTTTCACCTTTATTTAAACTTCTCACGAGCTTATTTTTAATTAGTTTCATTCCATTTATATGCAATTATAAATCTTTAAAACTGTATGCGACAAAAGCTAATCCATTATTTACATCCCGGTACCGTCTATATGGATAGCAACCATCTTGTTGATTCAAAGTACATTCTTTATAATTCATTATTTAAGTTCTATAATTAAAAATAAAACAATTATAAATGAAATAAATAATAATAATAAAAAAATTTAAAATCGAATATTTTTTGAAACTATTATAAAAAATAATTTAAGTGTATTTTTGTCTTGTTGAACTTAATTTCAATCTGTTGCAATATCTTTAATAAACATTGAAATTTTTACAGTTATCCCATAACCAAATTTATGAATATTTAAAAACTTTTATATGGCCTTGAACTGTGACAATATGACAACAACTTTCTAAACAACATAAACGCTGCTGGAAAAGTATTTTTAACATTAAAATTTACCTGCAGTTGTTTTTTAAAATAAAAAAACTTTGAATATTATTATTTTTTTAACATTATAAATTTGTTTATCAAGTTTTTGAATAATCGGATTATTCAATAATAAGTCATTCATGAGTTCCTGGATGCCGGTTAACAGTAAATTACAAGTAGACTTATTACTCACTGACTCTGATGACTCAACCACAGGCAACACAAGAAAATAAAACTTTTATAAATGCAGTCAATAACATATGTTATCAACTTGCTTTAAAATTTTTACAAATTACTGTAAACGGAAAAAGTGTACATGATCAATTAAAAAAATGCATAATCGATGAAGTATTAACATTAAAAGAATTGTTCGAGTTGTTGAATTTAAGAGTAACTTTCTGTAAGAATCAGCCAAAAACACCAAATTTTTAGAGTGTGCTCTTTCAAAGTTGCTAATTTTTAAATATGTTGTTGCTATTCATAATAGAAGCTCAATTCCAAGTTTTTTAAAAGTAATTATAGGTTCTCTTGATATTAAATGTCAAAATTTGATTAAATTTTTAGAAATATTGACCAAATGGTGTTGAAGGCATTTTTAAACTCAAAAAAAAGCAAAGTAAATACTTTACAATGAGTATTTCACTGCATTTCACTTGATTTTTGTTTATTAGCTAGTTCAGACCAAAAATTGATAAAATTGGTAAAGAAAATTTTTTTCTTTGTCTAAATGTTAAGCTACAAAATACGCAATAAGTGATTTTTTTTGTCATTTTTGATCTTCGTTTTCATACAATGACGCGATTATTCCATAATTTTTTTTTAATTATAAATCTTTATTTAGTACCTAAAAGTATAAAAACACCTATGGGGAAGCAAAGGCTTAGCCGCAAAATCTAACTCAAAAACGAAATTCTAATCTTTTGATGCATTGATTGTGACATGATAATGTTTAATGTTTACAAAAATTGTAATAGACAAACGTAAACATATTTATATTAAATATCAGATAGAAAAATAATAGTTGTAGGGTATAGACATATTTGAGAGTTTAAAAAAACGTACATGTTGTTTTACAATAAATTTCTTCTTTTACAACATAACTTTTTTTTTAAGCTTATTTGTTCATTAGTTTATTAGCTTCTTCAAAATCAAAAAATAATTATGGTAGTAATTAATTGGTGTTGGAGGACTTATTTTACATAAGATGTTATCATCTTATGTAAGATAAGTCCATCAGAAAGATGCTATCTTTCTGATTAGGCCATTGAAAACAATTATTTCCAAAAGAAACACTTTTCATGCAGTCAATTAAAGTATCAACTTCAGTTATCTGCAAAAATTTAAACACAAAATTCATGGATAAATTAAACTTACAATTTCTATAACAAATAATCATTTAAGTTTTAGTACTGTTGTTGATGTAATATTAGCTTTTTACTTAGTTTTATGTAGTATAAGTTTTTAGTTTAACAATATATACAAAATTTTTACCTCTGCAACAACTCCTGGATACCATTGGTTTTCGTGGACAACTACCACCCAATCATCTTCCAACCATATAATAGAAAGTTCGGTTGCAAGATTATGTATTTCTGCTTGATATACCTCAGCTTCTGCATTTTCAAGTTCATTGTTATCGTCTTCTTTATTAGGCAGAGCAGAAAACGTTTCATTTTTTGCTTACTTCATCTAGAGAACAAAGATCTTATTTGTTGATTTGAAACAAACTCTTTAGCTGTAAGATATTTTTCTTACTGTGTTTACTTCTTCTGGTAAAATCTTATTTCCTGTATTTTCTCCATTTATGAAGTATTCATGAACAAGTTTTTTCAGCCTAATGGAGAAACAAAAAGACATATGTATGTTTTAAACAACAATATATATATATATATATATTTTTTTTTTCAACAATATATATTCTCAAAAGAAACTTTTGAGAATATATATTCTTTATTGGCGTAGGCGTATATATAATGTTTATTGAAGTAGGCTTGATCTTAACCGATGCGGTTATAGAATTAGAATGAACTTTTTAAAGTAGCTTTCAACTTTTCGCTATATAACTTTTTTTACTTTATCTAAAGAAAAATATTGTTCAGAACTTTTGTGCTGTTCTGTCAGCATATGCACTTCTAACTCAATAGTATTTTCAAAATATTCAATACAACCAGTCTCCTGGTAAAAATGTAAAGTGTATTTAAACCGCAATTTTTTTTTCTTCTTTTTTCCACCTAGGGTTTTTCGCTGAAAGTTTCCTGCAGTACTTGTGAATGGAACAAGCAATTCAATTGATGATTCAACTGAAAGTTTGTTGTAAAGCACTTTAACTCCATCTCCAATTTCATAATATAGCCACAAAGTCATGTAGTTTTCTTAGAACTCATAGGAGTGGTATTTTGCTTATAAATGAAATTTTAGGACCAGTTAAAGTAACATTTACATTTTTTGCTACACTAACCATATCATTTTTGACAACATAACCATATTTTACAGCTTTTGCAACATCTTCTACTGTTACTATGTCATTGTCGGCATCTACTTAACTTCTCAGTATTGTTTTAGCGGATGCACTTTTCCTACCGCATTGGTCTTTTCCACAGCAAGGCTCATTAAAGTTGTAAGTGTTTTGTTTTTGAAAGTTGTAAGTTTAAAATTCTTATTTTTGAAGAGCTTGTACATAGATTCAACTTAATAGTTAGCATGATTACAGTTAGCATTATTCAATTTTGAAAAAATATTAACTATTTCTGGCTCATCTAGGCGAAACTGATTTAGAACTGATTCAGCAATAAAAATAACAGAGGAAAAACCTTGATTGCAGCGATTTTTTTGGTAAAAAAAACATCTATATGCATGCTTATACCTTTCATCCCAAAGTAGTCCTTCTGACCCTCTGTAAACTTCACAGGTAATATCTTTTGTGAATAGTCTTTTAACCATAATGCTGTTTTGTCATCTAGTTGTTTATATGCATCATTCGTTGCCTTTTTCTGTTGCGCATCTCTTAAGAGATGTTTCATATACTCTGTGATGCTGCCTATTGATACTTTAATGTCATATAATGCATCATGACCAACATCGTTTTAATTCCAATTTGATTGACTTCATCTAAAACTTCAAACAGTTCTTTGCATTTATAGCATACAGAATCATTTAAAATGCTACACGATTGCAAAATGTTTTCAGGATCAGAAAGTTTCAAATCAAGTTGAATGTGTTGCAATTTAATTTTCCAAATAGATGCAATGAAGTTTATATTTAGTTTTTAAATACCTTTTTATCAAGTTTCTCAACAATTGATTTTTTATTGAACATATTTACGAATTGTTCAAGTGTTGCAAATGCATTTATCCAAGCAGTATCCGTGTCATTTAAACCAGCGAGGCATTTTTTATGAGAAGGTTTGATTCCATTTAGTATCCGGAATACAATTAACTTTTAAGAGTTGGACTGAGGCTCGTACGCAATTTCTTTGCAACTTTCTCTATATGAAGCAATAGTATGACTGTTTTTTGCTGTTAAAATGGCACTAGCTACAGTTTCAACATCACGCATTGTCTTCAGTTTCAACATCACTTGCACTGTCATACTTGCACTATATTTTGGAAATGCCATAAGAAACATCTTATAACAATCTACTTATAATGATGAAATATAAAAAATATTCACACTTTAGAATCAAAAATTTGCTTCTTTTAAATAAATTCTTTTGGGGTAGTAAAAAACCTTTTTGTGAGGCTTTCCATTTTCTGGCAAGTCCTATTTTATATTTTGTGTCCTTAAATCTGTTGCATAAAAATTGCTTTCTGTATTTATTATGATCAATAAATGCCAAAATAACAAGTTGACTTGTTGCATCACTGTTTTTATACATTTCTACAAGTTTTTCACTTTCATCAGAAATTTATGTTATA